AGAACAATATTTGACTACACTCTCCATATCATAGAACATTTCAAAGTTTTTATTTCAGCATCAGATAAATAGGCCAAACTCTTGTCTTGGGTTGATGTACTCAACTCGTGTAGTTAAACACAATGAATGTATTGCGTTGCATATTCCAATTCACAGTTCTGCTCACCGCCTACGAAATTCGTCATCATCTGACTCCACCTTATTTTACAGATCTCATACAACTAAGCACCTTAGTAGAATAAAAATACACAACATACCAAGAACCAGATTTAACACTTACAGTGAGCGACCATATTTACGCCTCCACTAGGAACTCATCTACCGAACAATATCCGCACAGCACCCAATATAGATATCTTAAAATCCAGACTAAAAACTCATCTTTTTCAACAACCCAGTAATATATTATACTTGGCGAACATGAGCGGACACAACCAGTTGTTATATTTGATAATATTCACAATTACTGTAATACAATAATGTACTATACACGGATAAAACGAGCACCAACAGTTGTAATAGCTGATAACATTCATGGGGAGCAGCATTATCTTTGAATAATCACGAAGTACGTATTTAGCTAATGGCCGTTGTGTCATGTGTGCAAACCCGAACATCTAATAAATATTACATGATTATTTATACAGGGAAAGAATTATTCTGATACTTCTAAATTGTATACGATTGATTACTATCAGTTTCATAACTACAAAGAGCATTCATACAATATGGATTATATAGTAGATACGGTTCAGTGTGATTGTGACAAACAAAACGACAGTAGCACCAGGAACACAACGTGTGAGTTGATAGCAGCTGGTAGTCAATCCGCTTATCGGGTATTGTTAGTTGGCATGACACATCGAGATTCACATACATCAATATGTGACATGTATACCATAAGGAATAACACATTGGTTTCTCAAAGTCACTCACTGAAAGTGATGTGCCAATTAATCATGTAATCTGGTATTTTGTATGAAGTCATACACAAGCTCCCTTATCAATAAATAATACTAAACTAAAACGAGGAATGCATTGTTACCACCCAAACACTATGATGTATACGACTTCTCTGTGACGTCAAACTAAGTTATATTAAGCCATCATGGAGAGATTGACATATGACCTCAGACATAAAATAATACATGAAACATTTGGTCCATATAGACCAATATCTGACACACACATCGTAAAGCAATAGACAGTACACTTTGTTCAAATACATCAACATTACACCACATTTTAACATCAACCACTACATTCAATCTTTATCACATGTTTGATATCATCAACCACTACATTCAATCTCTATCACATGTTGTATCATCATCAACCACTACATTCAATCTCTATCACATGTTGATATTCACCAACCACTACATTCAATCTCTATCACATGTTGATATCATCAACCGCTACATTCCATC